GTCGAGCGGTTAAATCCCTCCATCTTACTATAAATTGATCCACAGGTTCGTCAGGTTCCTAGGTCAAAGTGAGAAGCTCGATGGTTTGGACCTCTCTCTTGACCTCATAGAAGCGTTGGTGGAACAGTTTCTCCATTTCCTCCCAAGTACGTACTGAATTTGGGGGAAGCCGAGCATACCATTGAATAGTCAGACCATCAAGGGTTTCAACAAACTAACGAAGAAAGAATCGCCTGTTAGCAGCTGTCTCTCGACATGCTACTTGGAAATGACCGATATGCTAGTGGGGGAGGTTGTATGGTCGAATACGGGAAACTTCCCTTTCTTGTAGTCTGAGGGAAATGGAACCTGATCAAAGTAGGAGGGGTACGGCTTCTGGTAAAGCGTTGTACCCTGTATACCAGGGATTTGTCTACTCTCTAAGCTATGGGTTACCATAGCATCGATGTCTACCTGTGAGAAGGGGTGGGGGATGGAATTGTCTTGTGAGGCAGGAGGGGAAGGCTGCCTTGGAGCTGCATCATCCGAGTGATGGGAGTCGGCCTCATGATTGGATACATTGACTGGGGACCACGTGCTTTCCATGCGATCAATCTTCTCCATCATCGCTCGCACCATCTGCTCGAACCTGTCCATGCGTTCTTCCTGATTGTCTTTAGATTCAGTTACAATCATAACGCTAGCCATTTCCTCAAAAGATGATCAGCCTTAGGTGCAGCTAAAGGCTTCTGAGCTTGGCGGGTCGTGCGCGGTAGATCAGTCAGCAAAGGCTCAACATTCCCCAACTCAACTCGAGTCTTATATGCCGATCACGTAAGGACCGATTCTCGACGGTCTTGGGCCCATGGCTGCTGAGTGGCTGGGTCATCTTCTACGACACTGACCACGGTGCAGGATTCACGCACTACTTCTTCAGGCTTTGTCATCTGAAGAGGGTAAAAGGGGTTCTGATGACGAGGGTCACTAGGGGAGGCTGCCCCGATTGTCTTGTTTGCTTCTCTAGTCAGGATTTTTACTATTGCATTTAGCTTTGAGGCTTTGATGGACCTCATGCCATAACTACGATCGAGATTGCGGCTGGTAGGCCCTTCTTGCATAAGAGAGAGTCCTCTACATTAGGTGAAGCAATGGGTGTGGACCAGGTACTGAAGTCAACCTGGGCTAAGGAAGACAAAGGAATTGATCTCCCATCAGGTCTTTGCCTCGAGCTCTCTTATGGGCTCCAGCGACATGACCGAGCTAATGGGGCTAGCTCAAGATAGTGCTCCTGGGGAAAGTCTTTGAGTACCAGGGCTGAAGGTGCTTGCCCGAAAGAGAAGGGGCAGACAGAGGAAGGGTCGACTCATGACAGCGCCTGAGTCAGGAACGGGGAGCGGTCTATGAAGGTGGCGCATGTGCACCCCTTGAAGAAGGATCACAGGTGACCTTGGGGTCAGCCCGGGCTCGAACAAGTGGTCTGGCCTTAGGAGGCCGAGAACTGCGAGCAGGTGTCCATAAGAGAACAAGTGGAATCCTGCCCCTTACAGGGTGCGCTAGTGTATGCTGAGTAGGAGGACAAGGGGGTCATGTTCTGTGTACTCAGGTTGACGCAATGACGGCATTGCCCCGAGTGGTGGGATGCACATGCATAACGTGTACAGGGCTTGGCCCTAGGAGGCCTGATCCTGGACACTGACTCGAGGTAACACAAGGGTTGCCCAGAGTGGTTAGGTGCCTCGATCTCGCCCTCCGGACCCTTTGGGGATCGGGAGGCATGTGTCTCGGGTTTCGAGGGAAGACCCAGGACATTTTGAGATCGCTCTCTCAGGAACTTCTTTAGAGAATGGGGGCAGGTGTTACTAACCAGTGAGAAAGGAACTTGGTTGGGTTTAGGATTTACTCAAGTTGGCTCTTGTGGACACCCTCTTAGATCACGAAGAAAGCCCCCCAGTCATAAAACTGGTTCGGAATCGCCTCCCTTGGCTTATATTCTTCTATTTTCTACAATCACACACATATATGACAAATGTCATAAGACAAATGGCTTAGACCTCACACTTTTCCTCTTTGATGAACGTACACAAGCATGCGCATTCAAAAAGAAAAATAAAAGAAGAATGACGGGGGAGAGAAGAATTCGACTGAGTAGGAGGATCAGAGCGGTGACTAAGCTTGTGAATAATTGGCCTGACATCGTAGCAAAACGGGCTCGGTAACTAAGACCGGCTCATAAGATTACAATTAAACGTCATTACCAGTACCAACCAGCTAAGCACGATAGTCAGTCTGTTGTGGTAGTAAAGCGGGCCAAGTAATCCTAGCACAACAACATTACGGCTAGACAGCAGGACTACCGTGAGAGGCTCACCTCAATCCCTCTTAGTCAAATGAGGAAGTAACAGAACGAAGGTTATAAGAAGAGAAGAATAAAACATAAAGGAGGAGGGAGATGAAAGGAAGAGAAGATTATGAAGGATGAGAGAATAAAAGAGAGAGAGAGGGAAGGAAGACGCAGTCGGCATTAGGTAGTTTCCGACAGTGTTAGAAGGAAAAGAGAGAAAATACAGTCGGTGCTAGATTTCGTCGACTGTTTCAGAAGAAGAGGGAGAAAAACACAGTCGGTGCTAAGCTTTGTCAACTGTGCCAAAGAAGAGAGAGAAAATGCAGTCCATGCTAAGCTTCACAGACTATATCAGAATAAGAGAGAGAAAACACAGCCAGTGCTAGGCTACACCGATTGTGTCAGAAGAGAAGAGAGATAAAAAGCAGTCGGCGCTAGGCCTCATCGACTATGTTCGAAGAGAAGAGATAGAAAAAGTAGTATGTGCTAGGCTTCACCGACTGTGTCAGAAAAGAACCAACAGGAGTTAGGCTTGCGCCAATTGTGTTGGGAGAGAAGAGAGAGAGAAATCCAACCGGGGCTAGCTTTCGCTGATTGTGACAGAAGAAAAGAGAGAAAAATCCAATCGGCGCTAGGCCTCCCCCACGTGACAGAAGAAAAGAAAGAGAAATCTAGACAGCGCTAGGCTTCACTGAGAACAGAAGAAAAGGGAGCAAAATCCAACTGGGGCTAGGCTTCATCGACTGTGATAGAAGCGAAGAAAGAGAAAACCAACCGGTGCTAGGCTTTGCCGATTGTTGACAGAAGAGAAGGGAGAAAATTCCAACTGGCGCTAGGCTTCATAGCCGGCGCTAGGCTTCACTGACTGTTGACAAAAGAGAAAAGAGAGAAATCCAACCGGCGCTAGGCTTCGCCGACTGTTGACAGAAGGGAAGAGAAAGAGAAATCTAGCCGGTGCTAGACTTCGCCGACTGTTGACAGAAGAGAGGAGAGAATGGGGATAGAGATGAGAAGAAGAGAGAGAAAGAGATAGAGACACAAGAAAGCGCGGAGAGAAAGAAATAGAGATGAGAAGTAGAGAGATAGAGATAGAGATGAGAAGATGGGAGGAGAGCGAAAGAGATAGAGATGAGAAGAAGGGAGGAGAGAGAAAAAGGGGAGGAGAAAAAGAGATAGAGATGAGAAGAGGAAAGGAGAGAGAAAGAGATAGAGACGAGAAGAGAGGAGGAGAGAAAAAAAGGGGAGGAGAGAGAAACTTACCTACCCAAAGGATACCAACCCTTTTCTTCTCCCTTCTCTCTCTCTTTTCAAGATGCACTCACGAGTTCAAGAGGAAATTGAAATTTTATTGATCCTTGTGTCAAATGAACCCAAGGTTTTTTTACAATTTGCATTTGCATGCTTATATAGAATTGGGCTAAAACATGGGTGTATGCCCAAAAACTACCTAGATATGAAGATAATTATAATTTAATTGAATTTAAAGAAATTCTAAAATGGGTGCAAAAGGATTGTTTTGCCCTTACCTAACAATATGTGAAATTCCAGAACAGTCCCTACTGCTGCCTGAGAACTTATATGATTTTTCATGGCTGACCCTAGGTCTGATGCCCATTTGATTGAAATATTATTTTTTTCTTATAGGGCTCGGCATGGCGATCATTTTGATACCAACTTCGAGCCATGAATCATGCTATTGAGCCATGATCATAAGACTTGAATTTTAGATGAATCTTGAAAACTTCAAATCGATTGTGTGCTAGTTCCTTGATGTTTCTTCATGACTTCTTCATAAAATCACACTGATAATGCTGTCACGATCACGTTACAACGAACGCAGCTCGATTTCATATCCAGATGAAGGTTTTGTCGTCTTGATTTTTTAGACGGAATCTTGAGATCCGATGGCTAGAATTTTCAGTAGCTTTGTCGGCTTTGTGTGTAAAATCAAACTGTTCATCGTATGGCACATTTTGACCAGAGATAGCCTCGGACCTCATGCACATAATGCAATTGGTTTCGTGTCGATCAGGCATGCGAGCGTCGTGATCTGGCTACTCGAACGAGCTGTGCTGCTACTGAATTTTTTGCAACTTATTTCATGGATCAACGATTTCCATGTATTTTTTTTTCTCTGCTCGGGGCGTCGTCATGGGGCGTACTACATATCGAATTGTTCGTGTTGATGAGATGAACGTGCTCACCAAATTTAGGAGCGATCTGACTTGGAACGAGTGAGACATAGGCCCCGAAAGTGACTGGCCGTGACTGTAAGAACAGCCACCTTTAATGGTGTTTTGATGAAGTGAAGTCACAAGGGAATAGTGTGCGGCCTACCCCTTTTCAGTATTTTACCCATAACTTTGTCTTGGAGTCTCAGTGTTTTCATTATTAGAACGCGCACTGTTGGCACGAGTCCTCGTCAACTTGACCTAAAACAGGAACACCCAGTTACAAGCCTATCCAAAACCACTCTTCAGACACTTCCAAGACTTTCTAGGCCAAGAATCCTATCCTGGCTGCTCTGATACCATAACTGTCATGACCCTGCCCTTTTGCCCCCTACCGTACTTGTCGAAGGGCAACAAGGTGCGAGACCGTGATCATAGGGTAGCGAATGCTACTCAGGTGGGAGTGCGCTCAACGCTTTAGAAAGATGGAATTAAAACAACCCATGAAATAAAACAAAAACTCCATATCACACACATTCATTGAAGTATGGATAACCCAATCCCCAAACTGTAAATACATTGTACATAATATTTCAAAGTATTACAAAAGAGTCTCGGGCATCAAAGGCCCAAATCATTATATAACTTCAAAATTAGACAAAAACTATGGCCAAACTGTCATCTAAAACTTACAATATAAAGAAACTTCTGCAAGTAACACGGGGCTCTAACCGCCAGCCGCAATTCCCATATCGGCAGTCCTCGACCTGTGGCTAATGCTCTATAAGGATGGAAGTTAAAGGAATAAGCTATAAAGCCCAGTGAGTAGATCCCGATGTCATACCTCACAATTATATCTAACAATGTGTCGTGAACGATTCTTTTCAGGGATAAGTAATTACAATGCAGATATCATATGAATTAGCAATTTATCAAATATTTCCATCACGAGCATCATAACGATCATCATAACTATAACTCAACAAGCATAACAAGTATAAACCACATTAACAGGCATTAACCAACTCACTCCCTAATTCACCTACTCTCGTAGTAGAAGCTCTATTCATTAGGCTAAGTGAATCCCATTGTTTAGGGCTTCTACCATCACTCAGGAGGGAAGACAATGACAAATGGGTGACCCACTTAGTTATGGCTTCACACGCACACATACAATCCCAACGCACTTTAGGGCTTTTGATAGGCACAGGCCTAGTAAGACACGGCCCTCTCATGTGCCCTTCTGGCGAGCGAGAGTTAACTACCAAAGGGGGTCCCAATGGATAGTGCCTCATACAAACATTTGGGGGTTGCGACCCATCCCAACACACATAATCATCCTAGCTCCCATCCTATCATATGGAGTTAAGGGAATATCACAACTGCTAACACAACTTTTTTATCAAATCACATTACACTACCAACGAATGACCTGTTGCGTAGTGTCACTTATCAGAGCACATTTTTATCATAATACATTTTACAGAGCACAGTCTTGTTAGAGAACATTCTTATCAAAGCACATTACGGCCATGCAATACGCTCAAAGCATGCCGACAAAATCACATATCACTTAACTTGTCTCAGAATCATGCACACATATTACGTACATATCATTTATCTCAGAATTATGCACACATATCACTATAGAACGTCTATCATAGTCATGTACACATATCATAACAAGGCATATCTTACAGCATGCATTTATATCATAACAGAGCCCATCTCATTATCAGGCATTCTTACCACCACAGAGCATACTTTAATGCACACATGTATGTCCAAAGAAAAACACAAATCATAAGGCTCATTAAATTTTCGAATTATTTTGCTGGTTTGAGAAGTGAACATAGTCCACCTTTAAGAGCATAATTTTCAAATCACAGAGAATTTCAATATGATTCAAAGTCATTTTTAAAATAGACTCACTCATATTTCATATAAAAGTGGTTTGAACTCATTCTGACATAATTTGGCCAGTGAACATTCTAACACAAAACACATGTAAAAGTTCTGGGAAAGTTCTTGCATTCACAATAGTGACATCTTCATAGAAAAACAAGCATAATTTCCAAACCGCAGGAAATTTTGTTTTGATTCTACGGCTATATTTAAAGTAGACACGCTCATCTTTCATTAAAAAGTAGTTTGAGCTCATTCTGACATGATTTGGTCAGTAAACCATTCAATATAAAAACATATAAAGTTTCTGGAAAATTTCCTATCATCACTATAATAACATCTTCATCGTAAAAAGAACATATTTCCAAACTGTAGGGAATTTCGTTTTGATTCCAAAATCATGTTTAAAGTAGACTCACTAGTATTTTATTAAAAAGTCGTTTTATCTCATTCTGACTTGATTTGGTCAGTAAACCGTTCAATACAAAAACAAGTAAAGTTTCTAGAATTTCTTTTCACAATTCTGGCATGTTCTAGCCAATGGCTCATGACTTTCCAATCAAAAGACATATTGATATGGGGTCTTTTCTCTCTTAAAATAGACTCAAAGGGATAGTTATCCACAAATTTCATAATCAACAAAGATAATTTCAGCTCTTAAACAATTACTCAAAGGAGAGTCACAATCTTGGAAATACAAAGTGCATACTTAACAAAATTTCATAAGCATCTTTCCACAATCACATCCATATCCCTACTCAATTTTCATACTTTAACAAACAAGTTGAACATGCATCAAACAAGGCATGAAACATAGGATTTTAGATCCACTTATAGTACTAAAGAACTCCAATTGCACTCCAAAAGGCCAAGATCCAATGATAGGTTAAGGGTCTCGAGTCTTAGGGCTAAGGAGGGTGGGCATGAGTGAGAGAGAGAGAGAGCAAAGGCTTAAAGAAAGGTGAGAAGGGGTTTAAATAGGCCAAAGGGAGGAGGTGGTAGCATACAAAAGCTAAGTGACATAAAAGAAACATGTAGGTGCCACTTGGCACACGGGAAGCATGCAAACAATCATGGGAGAAAGATTCTTCTGCACTTGGTGGTGTCCTCTGCTTTATGTTGCGTACAGCGGTGGTTAGGTGCCTCAATCTCGCCCTCCAGATCTAGACGAACTAGCAGCACGTGTCTCAGGTTTTAGGAAACCCGAGTTTTGAGATCGCTATCTCGGGAACCACGTAAAGAAGACGTGGGCAAGAGTAGCAACCGATGAGAGATGAATTAAAGTCGTGAGGCGGGACTTACCTCACGTGGGTTCGTAACACGCTCGGGCTGGCTCGCGTGGCCACCCTCTTAGATCACATTGGAAAGCCCCTGGCCTATGGCCGGTTTGGAATCGCCTCCCTTGACATGTTTCTCCTTTCCTGCAAACACACACATACACACATTAGAAGTACCGACAAGTGAGGCAACATCCCCACCTTGTTACAAGATGAAATAAAAAAGAGAGAGGTGAATTAAAATAAAAGTAAAAATAAAATAAAATTAGAAAATGGAATTAGGATTAAAATTGAATGAAGTGAAATGAGACAAATAAAATGAAGTGGGTAAAATAGAATAAAAAGGATAAAATAAAATAAAATAACATGGGGTAAATAAAATAAAAGAGGTATATGAAGTAAAATAAAAACAAATAATTAAAATAAAATAAGATGAGGTAATGGGAATAATATAAATGAAGTAAATAAGAGTAAATATGGTAAGGGAAAATAATATAAAATAAATGGAGTAAAGGAATTATATTGAAATAAACTAAGGTGAAATAAATGGAATGGGTGAGTTTAAGTGGGATAATAATAAAAAGAAATAAAATGGAAGGAAATACCGTGAAAAGGGCGTAGCGTAAAAATAAAAGGAAAGGGATGTAAAGAAAAAGAAAAGAAAATAAAGTTGAGTAACAAAAAAAAAAGGTAACATGAAATAAAGGAATAAAAATAAAGTAAGACAAAAAGGTCGCATAGAAATGAAGTCAAAGAGAACAAAGTAAGAATAAATTGTGAGAGGTAATAAAATAATCATAAAAAGAAAGGAAGAAGGGATAAGTGGAATAAGGACAAAAATGGTGACCATGTGAGAGAACGAGGTGAAGGAGGGTTGGACGAAAGATTGGGAACAGAACGAAAAAAAAGGGTGGGCGAAACGAAACTCACGCGACCGAAAAGAAAAGGACGAAAAAGAAAGGGCAAAACACTAGTGGGTTTTTTAGAGAGAGAGAAGGGTAAACGAGAGGGGCCCGAGTGGAAAGGTAAACGAGAGGGGCCCGAGAGCGAGAGAAGCGGAGGTGGCTGAACAAGGTTGGGGCTGCGATTGAGATAGACGGAAGTTTGTTAGGAACAGGGAAGGAGCAGCAGCGAGATGGTGGAGTTTGCAGGCAGGTGGCGGACATGGGAGGAGACAGCTGAGGAGCGGAGAGAGGAGGTGTGCGAGTGGTTACAGATGGGTGGAAGTGGCTGCAGGCAAGTGATTGAGGAAGAAGAGGGTGAGGTGATGGCCGCTAGTGGTGGTTACAGCAGAAAGCGGATGAGGTGGTAGAAGTTGGTGGCAGAGATTAGGGGCAGCAGGCTGAAGGACAATGGCAGTTGGCCGCGAGGTGGGAAAAGATGGTGGTTGGTTGCGGGCCGATGGGAGTTGCAGGGAAAGAGGTGAGCAGCGTGATGACTGGAATGGAGAGTCGAAGATTGAGACGAGATCACCATAATGCATAGAGAAGAGAGAGAGGCGGAGGTGGCTGCCTGGTGTGTGGCAGCGTGCGCGTGCTGGTTGCAGGGAGCTTGTTTGTTTTTTTTTTTTTTTTCCATTTTTTAGTTTGAGGGAGAGAGAGGACGATGGGAGGATAAGAGAGGGGGTGGACAGGGGCTGTGCAAGAGAAGAGAATAGTTAGAGGATGGCGATTTAAGGGAGTTAGAGAAAGAAGTAAAATGAGAAAAGGGGGGGCGTAGTAGTGGACCTGCTGAGCCGTAGTTGTAGGGAGGGAACAGCAATGCGGGAGAAAAGCGCACGGCAATGATGAAGTTCGCGTGCGGTAATGAGTTGAAATGAGTAGAGGTTAATCTTCAAGCGCGGTGTTAAAGAGAAATCCACGCGGCTTAAAGGTTTGTTAGCATAGGAGGGGCGCTAGGATGTGTTTTTTACATATACGGTCATGGGGTATGCTTTGCCCAGTCGCCACTGGGGTGAGCCGTAGTTGAAGGGAGGGAACGGCAATGCGGGAGAAAAGCGCACGGCTCGCGTGCGGCAATGAGTAGAAATGAGCAGAGGTTGAACGCACACGGCGACAAGAAGAAATTCACGCGCGGTGTTAAAGAGAAATTCACGCGGCTTTAAGGTTTGTTAGCATAAGAGAGCGCTTGGATGTGTTTTGCATATACGGTCATGGGGTATGTTTTGCCCAGACAGCACTGGGGTGTGTTTTGCCCAGGTATTGAGTTGAAGAGTTTTTTAAAATAGTAGTTGCGCACGAAAGGCATAAAGAAGGATAATATAAAGGATCACATAAAAAGCAGAGGGGTAATATGAAGGATTACATACAAAAGAGAGGAAGATCGACACGAGGGACCACCAGGAAAAAATAGAGGAAGTAGACCCGAGAGTGCATATGAAGCTGGTCGACTTGACTTGCAGGGATAAAAGAATGAGAAAATTGAGAAATTGTGGTATTGTTAAACCACAAGAAAAGAGAGGAGAAAGTTGTGGTTGTGAGGGACCACAGGGATGAGAGAAGAGGAGGGTTATGGTCATACCAGACCACAAGGAGCAGAAAAAGAGAAACAAAGAGAATGAGAAAAACATACAACAATGGGTTGGTCGTCTGTGAAAGAGCAGACACTCGTTGTTCGTGAAAGAGGAGAGAGAAAGAGAAAGAAAGAGAGATAAAGATGAGAGAGAAAAGAGGGAGGAGAGAGAAAAAAGAGAGAGAAAAGAGGGAGGAGAAAGAAAAGAAAAGAGAAAAGAAAAGAGAAAAGAGGGAAGCGAGAGAAAAGAAGAGAGAAAAAGAGAGAAAAATGGAGAAAAAGAAAAAAAAAGAGAGAACAGAAGAGAGAGAAAGAGAGATAGAGATGAGAGAAAAAAGAAGAGGAGAAAGTAAAAAAGAGAGATAGAGATGAGGAAGACATAGGTGATGGCTGGCCCTACCACTCATGTGGACTACGGGGCTCACCGCCTAGGAGGGGCTTGAACCATCATCTCAGTCATGAGAAGGAAGATAGAGAAAGAAATAGAAGAGAGAGAAAGAGATAACAGAGATGAGAGAGAAAAGAGGAGGAGAGAGAAAATCACTTTATCAAAAGGTATAAGCTCTTTTTTCCTCTCTTTTATCTCTTTCTCTCCAAAACGTACCCACGAACTTAAGCCAAAATTTAAAATTTTATTGAATGATCGAAGGTTCATTTGCAATTAGGTTTAGCATGTTTATATAGAATTGAGCCCAAACATGGGTGGATGCCCAAAAACTACCTAAAATTGAAAATATTTACAATAAAATTAAGAAAATAAGGTGCAAAATGAATGTTTTGCCCCTACCTAATAATTCATAGAATTTTGAAACAGTCTCTGCTGCTGCCTTAGAACTTGCGAGATCTTCCATGACTGATCCGGGGTTGCTCTGATGCTCGTTCGATCAAAAGATGATCGTTTTCTTGTAGGGTTTGGCATGGCGATCGATTTGATACCAATTTCGAACTATAGATCGTGTTTTTAAGCCACGATCATGAGAATTGATATAATCTTGAAAACTTTGGATCTTTAGTGTTCTTGTTTCCTAATGTTTTTCTTCAGTTTCTTCGTTGAATCACACTGAGCATGTCGACACGATCAGGTTGCAACAAACGCAATTCGATTTCGTGTCCAGATGAAGATTTCGTCGACTTGGGTTTTTGGTCGAAATCTTGAAATTCGCCAGCCGACATTTACAGCAACTTCGACGCTGATATCCAATCGTTCATCGTACGCGAGGTTCAGACTAGAGATAGCCTCGGACCTTACGCACCTAATGCAGTTGGTTTCGTGTTGATTGGGTACCCGAGCGTCATAATTTGGCCATCGCAGTGAGGCGCGCTGCTGCTAAATTTTTTGCAATTTTCTTCACAGATTAGCAACTTCTTTTTAGTTTTTCTCCCTGCTCGGGCATCGTCATAAGGCGTATTACATAACAAAACGCTCGTCTTAACGAGACGAACACATTCGCAAAGTTTGAGCGCAATCTAACTCGAATCGAGTGAGATATAGGCCTCGAAAGTTACTTTTTGTGACTGTAAAAATAAACCACCTTTAATGGTGTTTTGGTAGACGGTGGCCACACAGGAATAGTGTGCGGCCTACCCCTTTCCAGTATTTTACTCATAACTTTATCCTGGAGTGCCTGATTAAGTCGAAACTTGGCTTATGGGGGTTTTTATTGTGTCGAATCCAATGGCGATGGTCCCATGGCGATTTGACCCAACGAAAATATAGTTTCAGTTATATGGGGCCTTTTTAGGGTGTTAAAGGACAATTTTTTGAAGTTGTTTCTTTATGTTCATTGCCTTAAACATGTTGGAATGTGACAAAACTTGGCAGGTGGCCTTTTGGAGTGTTGATGAAGATCTTCACTAATTCTGAAGCCACTCTGAGAATGTTAAAGTTTTCACTGTTTTTTAGGCTTTATTGACCGGTTTCCTCTTTATTCCGCATCAGGGACCAAGGTGCTAAAAATGTGTTCAAACAGGTGGTGCCCCCTCTTCTTTCTGCTGTGCACAGTGGCTTCTTCCTTGGCAGCAATGCACATGGCGACAATGTGCACTGCGGCATCGTGTACAACGGTGTCACGCAGGATAGCACCCTTGTCACGCACGATGGCTTCTCATGCACGCACGATGGCTTCTCATGCACGCATGGCGGCTTCTCATGCACACACGGCGGCTTCTCATGCACACACGGTGGCTTCTCATGCACGCACGATGGCTACCTCCAGTATGCCAGAAAATTTTGGGTCCTTACAAGCATCGTAACCGGTTGGCTCTCCTTGAGCAGGCCAGGGCTACCTCCATTAGCCGAGGCAAAGAGTGAGGCCCTGAGAGGGTCTGAGCCTTGGCCTTCATAAGCAGCTCCGATCTAATCGGGGGAGAGAGGGAATGTTGCACCTTCTTGACCACCAGAGCTTGCCCCGAGCTTGCCTTCGAGCTCCGATGGCCATGTGAGGCCACAAAGGGGACTGAAGAAGGGTACTCACAAAGAAGACCTTAGAGTACCAGTTGGTCAAAGGTTTCACTGGGGAAGAAGGGGCGAACGGGGGAGAGGAGGCCTACCAGTG